GCTTACGGTTAAAACATCAAACACAACTCTGAATCAGCACCCAGTTTCCCCCATAAATGGGATGGTGAAATATAAATAAAATGAGAAATGCAAAATGAGTATTAAAGTTGTATAAATCCTACATAAAAATTTTGGCAGTCCTTGAGAAAGGTACAGTATGCTTACTCTTTAGATTTTGATGTCAGATTGCTAGCCACTGCATAAAATGTAATGGTTCATCAATAATTGAAGCCATGTTAAAAAATGCATGATTCAAAATATTTAAAAGAATTCAGCTGTGGTCTGGGTTAATTGCTGGTCAAAGGTTTTATCTGAAAAATCCAAGCTACAATATGCTTATTTTAGCATATCTGCTGAGGTGTGGCAACATGTTCTTCTCACTATTGATGGCAGTGGGAGTCAAATCAATATAACTGGCTGTAAATACTAATTAATGGCTCGGTACATACATACTGCTCAGATGCTGGCCAACACAAGAGCCAACTGTAGCCACAGCTGTGGTCAGCTGGGGGGAAAGGAGCAAGTCCAGGAGTTGTTTGCTGATCCATTGGGCTGTGATCAAAAGGTCAGCAGTTTGAATTCACATGACAGGGTGAGCTCCTATTGCTTTTCCTAGCTCTCGCCAAACCAGCAATTTGAAAGCATGCAAATGCAAGTAAACAAATAGGTACCACCTTGGTGGGAAGATAATGGTGGTCCGTGTCTAGTCATGCTGACCACGTGATGAAGGAAGATGTCTACGGACAAACACTGGCTCTTTAACTTACAAATTAGGATGAGCACTGACTCCTAGAGTCCGACACAACTGAACTTAATTGTCAAGGGGAACCTTTACCTTTTTACTTAAGACAACTGAAGTTTCTGCTGTGGCAAAAGCTACAAGAAGTTAATTGAAAATTCAACCAAATAACAGTTTGGAAAACTACTGACATTTGAAAATTTAATAAATGTAGCTTGTTGTTCTTCTGTAATGTGTGAATTAAATAAATTATATAAATAAATCCCACAAAAATGTTTTTTACACCCGAACAATCATTTTTATATAAGATAAGACTTTGCAAGCTGAATCCAAACATTAATCCCTGCTACAGAAGATCCTTAGAATGAAACTTCCTTCAATATGACATTCATTCAGTTGATCAACTCCCATGAGTACTAGAAATTGAATGTAGCTCCTTGTACTTTTTTTCTTTCATGGACTTATATTATTACCAATATTATAAATTTCTACTTCTAAAACAGGGAAACTGAATTGTTAACAGGATGAGATCCAAGACAAGCTTTCAGTGAGAACAAATAATTTAAATTTAAGAGGAGGCTCATCATCATTAATTTGAAGTGGTAGTTTAGTCCATAGTTTGTTTGGGTTTTTTTTTAAAAAAAAGTTTGAGGAAAGTCTCGTTATAATCACAATAATTTAGTTTTGAGTATGAGTGCAAAGGATTGTGTTGTTTTGCACATCTGTCCATGAAGTATGTGTTTCTTATGGGTTAATTCATAAATTCCTTCCATCCCATTTCTGTATTAATACAGTGGACCCTCTACTTAAGGAATTAATCTGTATTGGAATGGTGGCTGCAAGTCGAAAAGTCTGTAAGTCGAATCTCCATTCACCTACAATGCACTGAAAACCGATTAATCCCATAACCAGTGGTTTTTATTCTATTTTTATTTCATTTTGGGTTTTTTCTGGTCTGTAAGTCGATTCTCTGGCTGCAAGTCGAATCTAAATTTTGCAGCCAGAGAAGTCTGTAACTCGAAAAGTCTGTAAGTCAAGTTGTCTGTAAGTCGAGGGTCCACTGTATATGAATTAAAAATATGCATACATGAAATGCATATATAAATGCATAT